CCACCTGGGTAATCAAGGCTAATCTCCCCATCCTTAACCTTAATCACATCTGCAAAATCCCTTTTTTATTTTTATTTTATTTTTGAGACAGAGTCTCCCTCTGTAGCCCAGGCTGGAGTGCAGAGGCACAATCTCAGCTCACTGCAACCTCCACCTCCCAGGTTGAAGGGATTCTCCCACCTCAGCCTCCCCAAGTAGCTGTGACTACAAGTACGTGGCATCACGCCCAGCTAATTTTTGTATTTTTAGTAGAGATGGGGTTTCACTAAAACCCAGCTGATTTGGCCAGGCTGGTCTCTCAAACTCCTGACCTCATAATCTGCCCACCTCAACCTCTCAAAGTTCTGGAATTATAGGCACGAGACACTGTGCCTGGTCCAAATCCCTTTTTTAAATGTAAGGTAGCACATTCATAAGTTCTGGATATGAGGGCATGACTACACAAAATGTCTTCCCATTTTTCCTTGTTGCTTTAAAGTAAAATGCTCCAACAAACATGGCATTCCAAGAATGGCCAGCATTAAGTAAAAGACAATTGTCACCCTCCTCATTCCAGATATTATACTTCTATCTGGACTAAGATCCAAAGTGTTTACCTAATCATACTCCTAATTCTTACTGTCTCATTAGTCTCATTATCTGTTCTTTACTAAAACACCTATACTTTCTCTGTAAACACAGATTCTAAGCCACTCTTGACTCATCCTTTACTTGGTAGTTTTTTAAAACCCTAATATAAGAACTTATATTCATCCCTGTTAAATATGATCTTGTCAGCTGGGCGTGGTGGCTCACACTTGTAATCCCAGCACTTTGGGAGGCCGAGGCCTGAGGTCAGGAGTTTGAGACCAGCGTGTCCAACATAGTAAAACCTCATCTCTACTAAAAATATAAAATTAGCTGGGTGTGGTGGAAAGCACCTGTAGTCCCAGCTACTCAGAAGGCTGAGGCAGGAGAAACGCTTGAACCCAAAAGGCAGAGGTTGCAGTGAGCTAAGGTTGTACCACTGTACTCCAGCCTGGGCAACAGAACAAGACTCCGTCTCAAAATAAATAAATACATAAACAAATTTGATCTTGTTAGATTTTCCCTAACTAGATCTTTTTGGATCTTAATTCTAACAGTCTATCTGCTATACTCTCAAGTCTGTGTCATGCACACCTATTTGTGTTCCCATTATATCATCACTGATAGAAATTATGAAGAGGAAAGAGTATAAAAAGAATCCTACAGCACGTCAGAAATCTCCCTGAAGTTCAGTGATCCTTGAATTTTAATGTGTACCTAAGTGATCCTCGAATATCAATGTGCACAGAAATTCAAGGAGCTTCTGTGCCCTACCCCTAGAGATTATGATTTAGGAGGTCTGAGACAAGGCCCAGTCATCTGTTTTCAATGTCTTTCCCCAAGTCAATTTCAGATGGTTGATCTGTAAACATTTGGAGAAACACTGCCCAGTGTGATACTCATCATAAGTCAACTCCTTTTGGGTATGGCCACTCTGGCATAATCCAACCAATTATCTTCACATCCTCCTCATGCTCCCTGCCACTTTTAGGAAGTTATCATAAAAAAGAAACCTATTCAAATGACTTGCCAAAATCCAGTTGTGCTGGTGTTATTGTATTTCCTGCTTTACCAGCCCTGCTAGCCTATAAAGGAAGAAATAATGCAGACATGACTTGTTCTTAGTGAATCTGTTCAGTGTACTCACAACCAATTCTTCCTTATGCTCAGTGCCCACAATTTGCTCTTTTAGTTCCTGATCTAGAATCCTACCAGGGTTTCAGGGTCAAGCTCACCAGTTGGTAATTAACAGAACCAACTTTTTTCACCTTTGGAAAATTACAACTGCCTTTATCTGTCTCCAGTCATTTGTAAAAGCTGCTATTTTTAACCCATTTATTTCTAGTGTTCCATTATTAGAACGCTAAGCTTGCGGGAATTATTTATATGCTACTGCTCAAGGTTATCACTAAGGTCTGATTTTTCACCAAAAAAATTTGCAACCTCCAGCATAAATGGGTTAAAAGCCCTAAAACATCAGGGACACCCGCAACTTCTTTCTGAAGCTATACTGGAATGCAATGCACCCAGGCCTGAACATCTGAACCCATTTTGAAAATCTTTACCATGTGGAGCATTCATTCTCCCTTACCAATGATCACTCTACTCCTTTTCAGTAGGAAGATCGTTTTCCTCGACATAAAGGACAGAAGCAAAACAGATTTTTCAGAGTCCTACTTTCTCTATATCATGTATCAATAGTACATTATCAGTTCCAAACAGCAGATCTATCCATCCTTTTCATCTTTTTCTTGCTCTAAACATAACTTTAAGTACATAAATCTTCCTTAGCAATTCTTACAAGCTTCTATTCATTAGTGGCTTTAGTTTTCTGGTTGCTGTTCTTATAAACATAAGCCGTCCTCA